GCTAGTAAAGTAATCTCTCTCTAAGTTAGAAGAAAGTATCGTCCCGAAACGAACATATATTTTCTAAACGCTTGTCCGCCACTATTGTAGTTTACAATGCTTTTCAACATTTCATTGTGCGCATGCCTACTATTTACTTCTGTTTATTTTGGTCATTTTGTTGCTAAAAGAGGAAAATAATAATAATAATGAAAAATAACACTAACGATGCTGAATTTATAACTCGCTGCTTTCGCGCGAGTAAAAAGGCATCCAGAAGACGCCTTGACTTTTGTGTGAGGCAAAACCTGCACCTACAATTCATTTCCTATTGTTTTTAAAATTAACCAGATTGAGGGACACGTGCGCAGTCCCTCACAATAATAAGAAGTCACCAATGTCCTCACGGTAAGATAAAAAAAACATACCACATTTTCAAACCAATTTTATGCCCTGAATGAATTGCAACAACTCCTAGACTATGGTTGTTTGTTGCAATAAGGCCACGCCAGGCCATTTGACTAYTGCTGTCATCTAGTACTAGCTGTTTCATTGTAGTTGATTCCTGTCAATGAATCACAAAAATACAAATTGCATGATTGTAATTAACCCACTAGAATCAAAGAAAGCTATAAATGACACAAAAGCAGTTGCAGAAAATATGGCGAAGAGAAAATGGGAGGAATAAGGAAAAATAAAAATAGGGGGAAAAGGGAAAAGGAAATATGCTGTCACCATTGTGAAAACCCAACACTAGAAAAAGTAAGCAAAGACAGATAGCAGCACTCGGTTATCCAACAGATGACTTGCTTTCCATGTGGGGCAAATAATTTTTCAAAATGTTATTCATGCTTAAGAGCGACTAAATTCAGGAGTTACCTAGTTTATCATTTTTCGTTATTTATCTCACTGTAGTTCATGTTAATTAGTGTTCATAAATCCTGTGGCTTTTTTTATTCAGATTTTGTAACTAGTCACCAGTCCCTTTTTTAATTTCGGAGTAGCCAATTGACATTTGCCATTTTTTTATCTTTTTTTCTGCAAGTATTTGGATTTTTTTTTAAAAACACATGACTTGTACATTTTTTGGTTTTCATGAATTGTTTTGTATAAATATAAGAAGCTTACATTAGTAGGTGCTTTGTTAGTAGCAGTGCATGCAGTTTCCTTGACAGTAAGTTCTTGGATGGTAGTCTCTATACTAATTATAGACGATTGCTTTATTTCTGGAAGAAGTAGTGGTTGAGCAGCTTTCTTGATATGGACAATAGCGTAAGGTAAACACTGCCTTGGTCTCTTTACTGTAAACCCTTCGTCGTTGTACTCATACAGGTAATACTACAAGAGATCAATATAATTCAAATGTTAGCAAAACTACTATGCATGTTTCTTTGACTCTTTGTACAATGAATGTGCCTCGACATTGCAAAAGTGTTGTTTTTGAAAGCTGGACCAAATTGTACATAAATGTAGAATAAATAATAATTTAATAAATTCATTAAAAAGGAATTACAATTGTTATAATACAGTACAACATGAAAGAATATCACTCAAGCTGAGAACATTTCTTATGATCATATTTTTATAATAACAATTGATGCAAAACAATTTATAACGTCTAATGTAATTGTGATTAAAATAAAATGTTACAATGACAGGGAAAGGGATAACACTGTGGAGATTGAACAATTTAACAAAACAAGATATGAAACAAAGTCTTTAGAATCTAAAGGGAGAGATATTACTGTATTTTCATAGTAATGACAATCACAGTACACCAAACTATTTTTTTCTAATAAAATGGTTGCTTTCTGAACTGACTTTTTGTCAGAAGTGGGGGGTGGAGGAGGGGAGGGGGAGTTATTGAGTTTTTGTCAAAAAGGCATAGGCCTTGATTTCTAACCTGAGTTTTTGTCAAAAGTGAAGCAGTATCTATTGTTGACGTGTTTGGGATATTTTTTGATACATGACAGTCATAATTAGGCGTGGGTTCCATTGATTGTGACTCATCACTTTTCTTGCTTGTCACACACTTGACCTTGCCTTTTACAACCTACATTTATAAAAGGTATAAATTATGATAATCACTGTACATTTTCATGCGCCTCTAAAATAATACCTTACCCTAAAGATCACTAAGAATACTGTCCATGTACTATGCCAACAAGACATACTCTTCAAACATAAATCTGGACACCTCCACAATGACACACCCATGCTACTATCACCAAGAATATCATTGGCACCTGGGCAAGTCAGACCCTTTTTGCAATACTCTTTGACTTTTCCACTCAATAACTCTGTTTTAAAAGCAAGAGTTTCTGTGAGCTCTTTAGGTGTACGGCCTTCATCTTTCATCTCGGCTCTTTTGGCTTGAAATTCTCTCTCTAGAGTGGGATTGTCTACTTTGCAGATTTTTGATATGGTGAAACTGCGGTCTAGTTCTCCTGCCTCCCATGTCAAGTTGTTGATGGAGTTGATAAGATCTTTGCCTTCCCTGGAATTAAGGGTGATTTCTTCCTGGCAATCTAAAACACATGAAAATACTTAGCAGAGGCTAAAACACCTCAAGGATGTCATAAGCGATCCAACATACATCATGGCTATAATATCATTTACTATAAGCAAAACCATTTTTTTCAAGCAAGTTGACAATTGTTTGAACATTAGTAGATTTTTAATAAGAAAAGTTCATTGTGAGGACAAATAAAGGCTGGAGTATATGAAACAGCATTCTTTATAATTGGAAATAAATTGACTGTCTTAATATTAAGAGAAGACTGAAGTACCTTCACTCAAGAGCCTTGTTTTCCTTGGGATAGTGTACTTGATTTTTTTCATGATCTACAGAGGCATAGAATTTTGGTGAAATATTGAAATTACCGACTGTAATGTGATTCTCTTAATCAATATAAAATACACACATTAACCCGTGCTCACCCCCCGCTCCCCTCTTCATGCAGAATCCCAAATCCTATTCAATTCACTTCCAGATTAACTTGTAAGTGAGGAGCTTATTCTGTAGTCAACCTGTTATTTTTATCTAATGTCACATATATCATCATATTCATATGTGTTGTTTATAGAACAAGAGTGCGTGTTTTATCGGCTGGGGATATATAGATTCGAGCCACAGGCGAGAATCTATATACCCGACAAAACACGCACTCGAGTTCTATAAACGACTTCTGGTGGAGAGCTCCAACATTCAGAAATTGTTTTCATGATTTTAGAAAAAAGCTAAGAAATGCGAAAACAGTTATGTTTAGTCAAGCTATGTATAAAACAAAATATTCTCTAAGGTTAGTTCACTTTTAACTTAAAACTTGTAATGGTAATTTATTCATGATTTACATGTAACTATGACAGAGAAACTGCTACATGTACTAGATAACATCAGCATAGTTAAGTCTACAAAATATGATAACAGATCGCACATTCGTCTACGATGCAAATTATAAGATTACAAGATTATTAACTTTTAGTATTACCATACTAGTGGACTATTGCAAATCCCTCGTTCTGATTGGCTACGCTACTCAGGGTCTATTTTCAATAGTCCTCGACTATTTTAGCAATAAAAACATTTAGTTGTTTATATATTTCATTCATTTTTTGTCCAACTAGTATGGTAATACTAAAACAATTAGGTCTCTCGGCCTCGTGGAATACGAGGTGATAGCCCATTCGGCATCAGCTCGTAGTCCACTCGCCCTTGAGGTCTAAATGTTAAATATTAACTTTTATAACCTGTCAGTATCTATGGAAAATAGATAAATGAAAGAAGTATTAACGCAAAATAAACTACGAAAACTGAATGTGGAATTTTCGAGATTTTACCAGCGAGTGTTATAGAGTTGTCCCAAGAGAGTCCACAAAGGACCACTCGAGCATTACATGTAGTTACATGGCTATGCACCTCAAGTTCATATCAACACAAACATTAATAGCTAAAAAAACTATACTCGTAATTTATAAACAGGTAACTTCATACATTCGTGCTAAAACACAAGCATAATTCACTTTAAGCTGCGAATTTCATACACTTTTCAGCGTCAAATTCGTGACGTTTCACCCATCTGCTTGCAAGCGACAGCTCGATGTCACATGCATGGTTGTTCTTCGATATTATCATAGTTTTTGAAGACTCACCTCACGATTTATAAGTTAAAGTAGACTATTGGAGATCCATAGTGTTTGCTGTAATGAAATGGGGACTAATGTACGATTAACAGCCAACTAAAACTGACAACAAGACTCCAGTACGAATGAATGAAAACATCGAACGAAGGTGACAACTTAGAATGACGTCATCCTTGTGGGAGAGCGCGTCTGTTTTTCTCGTATCTTGGCGTTTAGAACTTTTGTTTTCTTCTAAAAAAATGCCTTTCAGTGTACATAGAAAAATAATTTTATTCTTATTCCAAATGCCATCCAGAGAAACTTGACCAACCTAAAATATTGCCGCGTATTTAATGAAGGTTAATTTTGGGCTTCCTGTGTTAGTTGCTCAGGAGACGGTTCAAAAATCCCGCCCCTGAGTATAACATGGTTAATTCCGTTTCACAACTTAGTATTTTTGCTGCGACTTTGGCTTTCCTGTTAAAATTTCACCTGTCCAAAGCCGAGTTGGCAATCTCAAAACCTTTCAGAAATCATAAAGGTCATCATTTGGTCTTCCTGTGTCAATCTTGTAGCTAGACGATCATGGATCGCTTACGTGGGCTTCGTGTAGCTGCGACAATGGGTCAGCTGCCGCCATTAATTTAAGTATTTCATTTTCATGATAGCGTCTTTGTTTGAAATAGTTCAAGACAAAATTAAGTCAATAAAAGTAATTTACATCTTTCTTGCATTTTATTTTTTTTACCGAATTCAACTAAGTACTATTATTACAGTCTTTTGGTCATATGTCACATGATTTTCATTCATAGTTTATAATCAAACCACAGCTGGTCCAAGATTTTCTCTTGTGAGTAGACAATCAGACAAATAAATCGTTGAGTGCGTAAGTGAATTGTACCCTGGTTCCAGAGATTTTCTCTTTTTTTATCGATGTTTTTTGTTTATTTATCGTAATTTTGCCTAGTTCTTAAATTTAATTCTCTACGGTCGCGACCAGAGGTTTTTTTTATTGCGTCGTTAAATTTAAAAGGGAAAGACAAAAATACGATAAATATTAAACAAAAACATCTATGAAAAAAGAGAAAACCTCTGGAACCAGGGAAAGCCGGCCGAATTGTGATCGTCGCCGTGAAATAAGAAATGGATCGATCGCCCCGCTTCAACGTGAATTACTAACAATGACATGATCTGTGATTGCGGTGCTATGAAGCCAACTATGAATAACTGACTTGATATTTTAATTGTTATGTTTTTTGCTGATGAATTAAGGAAATGATGAATACATTAAGTGACAGAATTGGAACTGTATTCAACAGAAAAAAATTTCATCACAAAGTTAAAAAAAAGAAGAAATTTCAGTTAGAAYTGTATGAAGTGAAATGTATTTACACATATATTCCTCTGCAGTAATTGGGTTTATTCAGAAAACAAGCAAGGACGGGGAAATGACTGTTTATATTTTCAAAATAAAAACGATTATTAGAATGTTATATATAGGCAGCTCTACTAGCTTCGACTGCAAGGCGCCGTTAAGCTTAAAACATCAATAAATGCCCAAATAAAATCAACAAAAAATTGCCTTCACAGCTAGAAAAGAATATCATCACAAAAGTTTAAAAAGAAGAAGAAATTCCAGAACTGAATGAAGGGCAAGACGTTTTCATATATTCCTCTGTAGTAACTGGAGTTATTCACAAAAAACGACCGAAGGACGGGAAATTTCCTGACTGTTTTATATTTTCAATGTATAGTAAATGAATGTTTGAATGTTATATAGGCAGTTCTATTAGCTTCGACTGCAAGGCGCCGTACGCCTATAACATCAATAAACACACAAATAAAATCAAAAAAAATAATTGCCTTTACAGATAGAAAGGTAAAAGCATCATGATGACTAGGATTCTAATTGATATCGTTATCCGATTCTACGACTTACTTTTAAGATTTTCTTTTGAGATTTTTTTCTCTTAATAAAATGATACAGAAGAAAAGAAAGCAGATTATTTAGCCATTACTGGTTCATAAAATCAACAACGGTGACTCAAAGAGATTTGTAATTTTTACATCTTATTGTCAAGCTTTATCTTTCAAACGTTATAATTATTTTTGCACCTTGTTTAAAAGCTTACTCTCCATAATATTTACTCTTTTATACGCCATCTGGACTACTATGAATTGCTAATCGAAATTTTGATCCCGCTTACAAGCACGTTTGAAGAGGAAAATGCTTCAAAATCGATTTATTCTGTCGCCAAAACATTGTTTTAACTATTTTAGGCTACAATCCACAAAATATTTAAGGCAATTTTAATAACTTTCCGTTTTTCCTAACCAGCATTTTTCTTACTTCGTTATTATTCGATATACTTTGTCGTGGTTGCGCAAAAGGCCGATATCCATGATATAGATTGCATCGATTGTGAATGAACAGTACAACAAAGGGAATAATAATTTTTTTCTTCAAAAGATATTGACTTTTCCAGTTTTGTCTCTTTGACATGTTAATGTTAATATTTTGCCTTAATATCAGTAATCAGTGCTTGTAGTGTTTTATGTAATAATATAATAGAGATAGCGTTCCCTTCTCAGTGAATATCAGCAAAACTAGGGAATTTATTGCATTAAAATTTCAGCGAAAGATTTTGCGACAGAAAATAGAGAATATTCTATTTTTGGCAGCAACGAAAAAAATACTTTTCTCGAATTTTCGCTCGGCGGCTCTCGAATATCTTTTTCCGGATTATATTTGTGAGACCAAAGGCAGTCCGAATGGCAGGCCGGCCTTGAAATCCGTCAAATTTAGTACTCTTAAGGAAATGTAATAAAAAGATGTAAGAAACCGCGATACTGTTTTATTGTCACATTTACTTGGACCGAAGGAAAAGCGGACATGATCGATTGAAAAAAAAAAAAAAAAAAAAAAAAACAACAACAACAACAACAACAACAAACACACACACACACACAAAAAAAATCAAAATAGTTCGACTGCTGAGCATAAAATCATGACTTTCATTTAATTATGATAACTTTATCAAATAGGAACCAACATTAATGACATAAAGTAGGTCTTTTCTTGGAGCACAAGGGGTCTTTTGTATATTGGTACGCTATGTAAAACAATACCACGGGCTAAGATTGACTTATACAAGTAAAGCGCTTTAAAATGGCTATATATTCACGTCTAAAACTCCTACTTGTTATTCCGTATATAATGGGGTTGATCAAACTCGATAAGTACGCCATGTATGTATATGTGAGATATACCTCTCTCTTGAAGGGCGCCTCGCCGTAAAATGCACCTAGCGTATCAATGATACTAGCAGGAAGCCAACATAGGCTAAAACCAAGGACTACAATAGCTAACGTCTTAGTGATTTTAGTTTCTTGTATATTGACACGCAGCTGTTCGGGTTCCATTTCATTGTGCGCAAATATTTTGTTTGTCCTGTAGACTTCCTTGAAGACGGACGAATAACAAAAACCGATTAGAAGTAACGGGCAGCCGATATAGCCTACTTCAATAAATATCGTGTATATGACATTGTTTTCAAAAGTGTATAGGCACATTGCTTTGCCTGGCTGAAAAGCATATCCTCCGTCGTCCAGTGCAAAAGGAGGCACTGACCCAACAAACGCAAAGATCCATACTAGTAAAATATAAATCTTAGTACGGGAAACCTTAAAAAGATTCTGATACTTGGAGGTCTTGACAATGCAGAAATATCTGTTAATAGCAATGAGACCCATAGTGTGAATGGAGGTCAGAGCCAAAGTGAATCCAGTAAAACCATGTATACGACACAAAGTGTCGCCAAACACCCAACGTCCTGCTATCAAAGTTCCTAACACAAGCGGCATGCACAAGATTCCCATGAGGGAATCACTGATAGCTAAAGCTACTAAGAACATATTGGAAATTGTACGAAGCCGAGGATTTCTGTAGATGGCACAACAAACAAGCATGTTACCAGAGATAGTCAGTAAAATGATCACCAAAAGAAGCGCAGATTCAATATACAACATAACAGTCTTTCTGTTTGATAGCTGGCTCGATAACTCAGCAATACTACCCATGATGCAGGAAGAGTGACTGGAAATGGTGGGATTTGCAGTCAGATTTCTTTGCTTTCAAATTTGCCAAAACCTTACCAAAGTCGTATTCAGTCTAAACTGCTTGTAAACGCCGTTACCATGTCAGCCACAAATGACATCACAACAGTTTTACCCAATCACCGAGGGAGTTAAAATAAGCGACTCTAAATGATGTCTTGAATCTATAGAGTCACAGTTTCATTTACCTATCAAAGCACCAGCTATATTCCAATCTTATCTGCACTCTATTGGTTCAAGAGCGTGCTTTTATTTCACATTGTATATATAAAACTAAAACTCTAGAAATAATGTAACTTTTGTGCACATATAGCTCACGCAATTTTTAAGGATTATTTTCACGAATCTTGAAAACATCCCATTTCGATACTTTGTGAATCGTAAAGAATTGTTAATAGATCCTGCCATAATATGCGCTCGTATTAACAAGGACAATAGGGGAGAATATAATATATAATGTAGTATATCCTTCATTTCTTCACCGCAGCCGCAGTAAGCACTCGGCTTATTTTTAAACACTTACAACTTACTGAGATTTTTGATTTATTGACCTATTTCTATAATTAATAATTCAGTGTTTTGCATTTGTTTGTTTACAGTAATACTTTGTATTTTCTGTTTTTTTTCCTTTGGTACATATAAAATAATAAAGCTTTTTAAAATCATAAATCGAAATAAATAAAACTGCATCGTCCATTTAGGTCTTGTCAATGGCGTACAAAAGAAAAATAATCGTATTTCGTGTTATCTTATATTTTTCCGAGTTAGTGTCAGTCACCTCGTTGAAAACTCTTTCTTTTCGTTTTTAAAGATAAAAAATCAATATTCTTATGTACACATTCCATACGCAAATTGTCAGAGTAAAGTTGAACTGTCTAGAAAGCAAAAAAAATCTCTAGCTTTCCTGAGGAAAGAGTAACAAACAGAYAGTAAATTAAAGTGCTAAAAATCATCAAAAGTACTTTTGTCCAGTGCTTCTTTATGAGGTCAAGGCACCGATAAGCTAGTCGTATTTCATCAAAAAGCACACTTCAGATTTCTAAATGTTCTTGATAGCGATTGGGTAATGATTCTATAGGGTCAACAAATTCGTTTTGATTTTTAGAATAATTTCTTTATGTTATAGTGAATCAGCTGCGGGCATAACTCAGTTACTGTGTCTCTATGGGATTGATATATGTTCCTTTGATGACTCGTCAAAATATTTGAATACAGAATTTGCTTTGTCGTTCTTTATTGTTATTCGTATGAATGTTGAGAGTGATTTTTTATATCAATCAGTTGGAAAAACTCGAATCTTGTACCGCTAACATATTTATCATTAATATCGGTTGCATCATGGGTAATTTGATATACTTCTCTCTGATTATAAATCAATCAATCGCTTTGAGATTAAGCTTATTTATTTATTTATTTTAAACATGATCTGCAGTTTGATGACAAATTTATATTCCGCCGAAGTTTCAGCTATCCTAAATATTGATATACGTTATAACGGTCCAACAAATTTCTTCAAGGGATTGCATATCAGAGTACTGATATCATAAATTTTCTAAGAAATCCAATTTAGTAGTTATTCAAGTCATCAGGAAGTGTAAACTTTGATCTTCTAATAAGTGATAATTTCATTCTGAGCTATCATACAGTTGCTATTGAACTCATACATGTCAATCAAGTCTCGATGGCAGCGGAAGACAAATATATTTTAGTAGGAGAGAATTTTTCATTTTAATATTTCTTGAAAAAGTACGTCCTCCAAATATCAGTCAACTTGCCCGTCCGTTATTTTAATTTCGAATCGGCTTTCGCGATCTTAATATAAGGAAGCAAACGTACTAAGGTTGCTATGGTCAGTTTGCAACATAGATTAAAGTGTGTCTACATTTTTAACGTGAAAAAACTGGAATTTACTATTGTAACTACAACAAATGACTGCCAATTTGAATTAGCATATCAAACTGACGTGTTGACAAAAACTATCTGTATGTTATACGTACTAAAACATTTAAACGCAGTTTCTGTAGAAGCGTTCCAGTGTAAATTGAAAATGGATTTCCTAGAGACTGATTGTTAGTTTAAGCGTTCATAGGCGGGCATCACTGGGGGGTATACCACTTGATTTACTCACACTTTAATTACTTTAACAGAACCTAAGTTTCAGATAATAGATTTTCATTCTCCGTAATACGTTTTGCTTTCTTTTGTAAATATGGTATTCCATATTTCTCTGGCTTTTCCTCAGCCTCTACAGTCGTCTGATAGAGAGGTCGCAAAGCTGTCTCCGGTAACCATAGAGATGAAATCCCGCACGCAATGGCACAAACACCAAATATTGTCATAGGAAGTATGATACTTGAGCCYGGCAGTTGAGCCTGGGAAATAATCAACATAAATTAAACTGAGAGTGATGGTCTGAACCCGGTATGATCAAACGGGTATGAGAAGTCTTGAGGAAGACTGTTTTAGTTCCTGACGTTTCGACATCCTGCATCAGTGGAAGTAATCTTCACTGAGTGAAGATGAATTCCACCCAAGATGTTGAAACGTCAGGTACTATAAAGGTTAACACCGCCAGACGATCATACTACACCAACTGCATAGGTCCATATAGGATATTACATGGGCGCGCGGAGATACAGATTTTTTAACATATGACCCGTATTTCGGCCCTACGCACGCTCTTAAAAAACCTTCGGGAAATGGTCACGTGATGGGGGCCGTACGCCTTTTCGCGACAGGGCCGTACAGCTGACCCGTATATCTTCCTTGCTTGAAGTTCCGCGCGCTTTTATTTTTTATTTTTACATCAAAAAACGCTGTCATATGAGAAAATGTTTATTGAGTTAGGGTCGGGCCGTATGGAAAAATATTTGGCTCGCGGTCATTTGTACGGACCGAGCGCAATAGGCATTTTATCATATGACAGCGGCATAACCATGCTCGAGCCAAACATTTTCGCATGGCCAGAAATTCCGGACATTTGAGCCCGGGACGAATCAGCGAGTTTTCGCACCAAAATAGAGCTTTCTACAAGTTCCCTTGAGGTTTGTACTTTTGAAGATCAAATTTTCTACTCTTGTGCAACGATCCTTTATCTTAATTTAAAAAACTTATACATAATTAATGAGCTACTAGGCCAATTGAATGAGCATATTTGGTCACATGCATGGACATTTATATCTGATAAAACACTCCTTATTAGTATTCTTTATATAAAGAATACTAATAAGGGTGACCTTTATCAGATATAAAGGTCCATGACCCTAGCAAAGGTCTCAGGTTTGAAACCTGATCATTGACCAATGCAGGATGTCAACCAATTTCAGTGAACAGCCAAGAGCGGTTCTATTTTACTTTATGCGTATTCAATGTGGGATGACAAGAGTTCTTTGTAAAGTGATTCGCGCATGATCAGTTTGCCCTATTTATCTCTGAACATATTTGAACGGCAATTTCTCCAAGAATTTTAACGGATTTGAGTTTCAAATTAGTGTTGGAGTTTTTTAAGCCGTTTAAAACACTCGAGATCGTGTTTTAAACTATACATAATACTGGACTAAAATCGAAACGTTCAAAACATCGACAAACGAGTATTGGGATAGCACGCCCTGATCCTTGAGTTCATTAGTGGCTTGTGAGGTGCTCGTTTGGAATTTTCTTAGTATAAATAATATTATTTGCTGGAACACACGTTTGCCTCAGGTATTTTAAACAATAGAGAGTTTTAGATACGCGTTTACGGCGAACGCCAAACGTCAAAACTGATCACGAGATTACTGTCTTCCTGTATTAACGCTGCGTTTTTTCGCGATTGTGTATAAAAGAGATCACTTTTTCGTGCATAAGCGCATCACTATTATTTGGATCTCCTACAGTGGAATCAAGAATAGTTTCCCTCTAGGAATTCATCTTTGAAATCTTTCCAGTTAAAACAGATGAAATGTTATTCTCAAATAATTTTTTTGATCCGTACATTTCTTTGTAAAATTAACAAACATGTTTTTGT